AAACAGAACCCACAAACTTTTATACTCCGACTTCCACGTTGGTCTAGGCTTCATTTACTTTGTGTTACTGTAATGGCTGATGAAGGATCAGGTCCTAGATTTTGAGTCCAACTTAATTATGCTGAGATTACACCCACTGAAATCAATTTAAATTAGTGATCATTAGCTTATTTCGCCTTGACTTAAATGGGTTTACTCTACAAATGATTAGGGTTGCAATGTTAACCCCACTTATATAAAAGTAAGCTCCATGAAAACCAATAGGATGTATTTCTAACTTGATGTGGTTAGGATTGAGCTGTGAGTCTGGATCCAACCTATCTGGTATCTCTAAAACAGAGGTTGCCAACACAGTGCCTTCTGGATAATTTGGACTACAAATCCCACTACCCCCAGCCAGCATGGCCACTGGACAAGGATGATGGGAGTTGTAATGCAAAAACATCCGGTGGATTGACTATCCCTGCTCCAAAGAATTACTTCAATCCTCAATAACAGCCATGGATTATTAAGAGGGATTTGTGAAGGGATGTGAGGATATGCTGATGAAGATATAAGGAGATTTTTATAGCACAGAAGATTTAGAAGATTAAGGCTGGATTCATCCTAAATTCCTTATTGGTTCAGATCTTATGTGTTGACCATTGTTCTGAGATGGTTTAAACTATGGGAGATTCTAACTAAGTCTTAGTAAGACCTTTCTGATGGTAAGAGCTGTTTGACCGTGGAACAGACTCCCTCAGAAGGTGGTAGACTCTCTTTCAATGGAGGTTTTTAAGCAAGTCAAGGATGAGGCCAACTGTCAAGGATTCTCTAGCTATGATTCCTGCATTGTAATGATGACTCTTGATGGGGATGGACACAGACATGAGCAGCACTGACTCCATAATAAACTGCCATTTGACAATGGCTAACACCTGTCAAACCTGTCCCAATATAATTCTTCAAAGGCTAACCCATGTCTACTATAGCACCTCAATTCCTCTGCCTAATAGTTTTATCAGACCAGAGAATTGGAAGGAAATTCCATGCAGCATCTGGTTTGTGTGAGGCTTTTAATAGTTATTTGTAGGAAATGGCATTCAATGCCTTGTGGGTGTGTTTACCCCATCCCTTCCCTATATAAACAAAGCTGGGGAATGAATATTCAAAAACATATCCCACCAAGGAAGGCCATCTCTGCCACAGAATTTCCAACAATTCTGCTATAAATCGGGTCCAAAGTATGAGGAAGTTGGGGCTGAATTCTTGCTGGGCCTTTAGTGCCTGGAGCCTTTGCATATAACTCCATGGCTCAGCTCTGGAATGTGTGTGAAGCAAGGACCAAAGAGGGGATTCTGCAGGAAGTAGAGAGAGAATTCTCCACTTCCCCCACCAAATGCACTGAGTCATCATAAGCACCGAAAGTTGTCTGATCTCAGGGATTATGGTGAATGAAGGTGGGGAGGAGGTGGAACAGGAAATGGGTGCAGCTTGGAGTGCTACCAGCTTGGAGAAGGGAGGAGGAGGGGGGGGGAGGAGGCAACCACCGTTGGAGGCAGCAATGCTTCTGAATAACAGTTGCTGGGAATCTCTTGTGCTTGAGTCCTGCTTATAGGCTTCTCTTTAGAGCATCTGTTTGGCCATTGCTCAGTTGGTTAGATAACACCAAGGTTGCAGGTTCGATCCCCATATGGGGCAGCTGCATATTCCTGTATTGCAGGGGGTTGGACTAGATTATCCTAGGGGTCTCTTCCAACTATGATTCTAAGCTGCTGGACTAGATGGGACATTGGCCTGATCCAACAGGCTCTTCTTACAATCTTATCTTCTTTCTTCTGAGGCAGTCAGTTAGGATAAGAACATCTACTGGCTGCGAGTTCTACAGGACATGGCCTTGCTACGTGAAAGGCTTGGCCAGCGAACCTCAGGGGCATGTGATTCTTGCGAAGATTTTAAAAAGCAGGGGGAAACCTTTCTATGCATGCCACCCTGAGCAACTTGGAGGAAAATGTGGATTAGAAATGTATTAAATAAATAAATCTCTAAAGGGGGGGAGCTCAAAACAGCACATTGAGGACTGAGCATGCTCGGTGAGTACAGAATGCTGACATGTGGGAGGAAGACACAGAGGCTGGGTACACACTGTGCATTTAAAGCACACTCAAAGCACATTCTTCTGCCCAAAGAATTCTGGGTATTGTAATTTGTGAACTCTAACTCTGGGTACTACAGTACCCAGAATTCTTTGAGGGAAAGAATGTGCTTCAAATGTGCTTTAAAGGTATAGTGTGGGGGCAGACTTTGGTCTTTCAAATTTCAGCAAGAATAGAAGAACAATTGAGGACAAAAGGAAAATTCAAGTGTTTACTTCAGAAATATCAGTATACCTCAAAAATTGAACCAAAAGAAAACAAGGATGTATTACAAAGACGACAGGTTCTGTCACACAGCATAATACTTCAGTATTTCTATGTTCATGTTGAATTAATTTCTTTTAGTATTCCAAGCTTGGAGAGATGCTGCCAGCAGCTGCTGTTGCAAATCAGTACATAATAACATGTCCCCAAAGTGCATGGAAGGCATTTGGTGACTCCATACCTTGTAAGGTTCTCAAGTGAGGTTGGTAATATTTCAAAAGTTGTTGTACCAAAGAGAAAGTTCCAGGTCCTGTAGAGCTTTCTGTTTCTGTACAATTGACAGTCTCACAGCAGTTCATAAAAATGTTGGAAGGTCCTAGGACTTAAGATTCACGTTTGCATCCACATCAGAAATATGCAAAGGAGAAAGCGTCTCAAAGCGCTAGGATTCTGAAAAGCCTTTTCCATACAAAAAGTTGCAATCACATACTGTCAGCCCTTGAAGTCTTTATAGCTAAACCCCAGCACTGTTATTATATGGGGCTCAGATCTGGACAGGCACTCACCTTAGATCTACAGAACCTGTTCAATCTAAGTTCCTAAGGCATTTTTTTTCCCTGTTCCATCCTGTGTTCCAAATGCTTCATTGCACTTGGAAGCTAATATCCCCCTCTGCTGAATTACAGATTTGGTGTAGGACATTTAATTATTGGCTTTGGCTAAATTTAAACCCCACTGGTCTACTACTCTTAGTATCACAAGATTGTCATGAGAGCGCTTGGACTAAAATTGTCACCCAAAAGCTTTACTTTTCTGGTTTATCACCACAACAGTTATTAACACTGGGCTTCAGTAAAGCAAATAATTTAGTTAGACAGCGCCTATATGATATCAAGCGACAGAATAATCTGACCACAATAAAGAAATTTTGTCCATGGTATGATTATTTCCCACCTAGTCATTTTGATACGTTGGCACTCTATTTGCAAAATTTAATAATTCCTCAATACAGATGTGCTTTCACATACACAAGGATAAATATACTGCCTTCAGCTGTACTTGAGGGTCTATTTCAAAAAATTCTGCTGGGAAAATGGTTATGTCCATGTGGAGATGGCAGTATTGAGTCAGTGGCTCATGTGCTTCTAGCTTGCACTCTTTATAAAGGTTTGAGGTTATTTCCCCTCTACTAATGTACTAAGACTCCCTGGAAAAGACCCTGATGTTGGGAAAGATGGAGGGCACAAGGAGAAGGGGGCGACAGAGGACGAGATGGTTGGATAGTGTTCTCGAAGCTACCAGCATGAGTTTGACTAAACTGCGGGAGGCAGTGGAAGACAGAAGTGCCTGGCGTGCTCTGGTCCATGGGGTCACGAAGAGTCGGAAACAACTAAACGACTAAACAGCAAATGTCCCTACTAATGTTCTACTGTGTTCTTTCTTCTAGAAGATCAAGATGACCAGGTGACAGCAAAAACTGCAATTTTTTTAGCAGGGACCAGTAGAATAAGATCTATTATTTGATTATGGATGTAAACCTCCAGAATGTATTTTGTATAGTTAAGTTTTTACCTCTACCTTCCATACACTGTATTTTATTTTATTGCTATGGCTAGTGGCTGATGCAAATAAAGATTTTTTTCTGATTCTGATTCATGTTCACATCTTCAGACACTTCACTTCAAACACCCAACACTTCAAACACACATGTTGGGAATTTCTTGAAACACAGTAGGCCAAAACTCCTTTCAGGTGGAGATCCCCACCCTGGGTGCTGGTATGTAAAAGGTAAAAGGCAAAGGACCTATGAAGGGTTAAGTCCGGTCAAAGGTGACTATGGGGTTGCAGCACTCATCTCGCTTTCAGGCCAAGGGAGCCGGCGTTTGTCCACAGACAACTTTCCAGGTCATGTGGCCAAGCATGACTAAACCGCTTCTGGCGCAACGGGACACCATGACGGAAACCAGAGCGCACAGAAATGCTGTTTGCCTTCCCACCGCAGCCGTACCTATTTATCTACTTGCACTGGCATGCTTTCAAACTGCTAGGTTGGCAGGAGCTGGGACAGAGCAAAGGGAGCTCACTCTGTCGTGGGGATTTGAACCACCAACCTTTTGATGACAAGCAGAAGAGGCTCAGTGGTTTAGACCACAGCGCCACGACTTGAGGCCATGCATGGTAATTGAATCCAGGTCTGTGCCACCTGTGGTAGATTTTATATAAACGGAAATTGACTCTGTTGGCTTACTGCAATGGAGCCCCAGGCCGCGAGAGAGGGCATGATTGGCTGAAACACTAAACAGGAGCACTTAACAAAACAACATCATATTAGGGGACGGGTCCCGTTTGTCTCAAAGCATTGCTGTTTCTGGATCCTTATGAACACACGTACCTACATTTAGATTTTGATGGATCTATCTTGTTCTATTCCAAACCCTTTCTAGCTAGCAAGGTTTCTCTCTCGCGCGCGCCCCTGACTTAGACACGTCTTTGCAAAAAGTACCGGGGCAAACCCCGAAGAGGGGGCGAGGAGCCAAGCAAGGAGCGTGACTGCCGTTGCTGCCGCCAACCCAATCAACCATCCCCAAGAGAATCGCCTGGATTTTCCCAGAGGTCGGACTTGGGCTGCCAAGGGAGGCGTGCCGCCCTCGGGAAGGGAGGGGAGGGGGAGGGAAAGGAGGAAGAAGGCGCACAATCCGGGAATGGCGCTGCTGCTGCTGGTTCTGCGAGGTGCCCATCGGGCTTAGGAGCGCCCGCCTCAGCCGCCGGGGCAGGAGCATGCGGGACCCTCTGCTGTTGGCGCTGGGCTGGGTGGTGGCGGCAGCGGCCATCGCCTCGACGTGGCACGTCCAGGTGGCAGGTGAGACCCCAACGGGGAGAGAGCGAGAGAGTCCCCAGCAACCTGGGCAGGGCGTCCCCTGGAACACATGGGGGTTTCCTCTCGAGGAAGTGGGCAAGAAGGTGGCTTTTTCACTGCTCACACGGGATCCGTTTTAGCTGTTGGTTATTCAGTTCATGAAATGTATATTCCGCTTGATCGTAAGGAAAAGCCTCCAGCGGTTTACCAAAACACGTTTTAGATCGGCTGCTTTTAATTGATTGGCTGGTTGTTTGGTGCTGAGCTTACTTTTCTTCTTATTCAATGGACCCGTTGCTTTGTTTTGTAAAATAAAACTGTAAAAGCCGCCCTAATAGTTGGGTAGAACCGGGCAGTGATTGGAGAGGGGCATTTGGTAATTTGCTCTTTTACCTGGCTTTGAGTGACTGCACACTCTGTTGCTTCTGTGGGTGTATTTTGTACTGTATTAATCTGTCCAGCATATTGAGGGGCCAAAAAGTGATATACAAATAAACCGTTGTTGTTGCTGTTGTGCCCCCAAAGCGATATTTATTTTATTGCATAAAATTTATACGCTGCTTGACTGTAAAAGAAACAAAGAAAGCTCAAAATAGTTTTCAAAAAAAGACAGAATAATTAAATTATCAATAAGAAAAATTAACAACAGTGATTTAAGACTTTTGAAAAGTCAATATAACAGTAGACTAAAGACAAATTAAAACTCTCAGAAACTCAACTTTCTAAACATCCGGGTAGGCTCACCTAAAGACGAATGTTTTTAGAATGTTTTCAAAACAAGAATGATATAAGAATATATGAATAATAATAATAATAATAATAATAATAATAATAATAATATAACAGCGATGAGGGGCTCCAGCCTGTGTCGAGAACCACTGGCAGCTCTTGCCAACCTGCTGCCTCCCAGGTGTTTGGGAGCTGCTGATGGGAGTTTTAGGGCAACATGGGGAAGGGTCACTACCACTCAACATGGCCCCCAGCATTGCTCCTCTCTCTTTAACAGTGGTCCACTGCTGAAGCTTTCACACCACCACTTCATTTTTCCCTATCAGGAAAATCACCACCTGCTGAATTTCTGTTGAATTTGCTTTTTAAGGCACAGGAGGAATGGCAATTAAAAAGGTGGCAATCCTGAGTTACCTTTAAGGTGCTTGCTTGGACCATGGTAATTGAACCACCAGCAGATCAATTTATTAATTTTTAGAAAGGGCCATACAGGTGTGAGTCACCCCACTGCTTTTGTACTTGCCAGCCATCTAGGCGAAGGGTGCCTGAGTGTGTTTTGTTTCTGTTTCCCTTTCTCTAACTGCATAGGCAACATGGCACCTTTTCTCTCTTGTATTTCCAAACGGGCAGATGCAGCGGGCTCAGCTATGTTCACCCCGCTCCATTCAAGCGCAAGGGTTTGAGTCTTTTTAGTTTAGAGAAAAGGCAAGCAATTGGCAACGTGATAGAAGTTTATAACATGGCACTTTGAAGGTGCACAGAGAAAAGTTTTCATCCCTCTCTCGTAACGCTCAAATTGGTGGATGTACAATGAAGCTGAATGTTGGGAGATTCAGGATAAACAAAAGAAATTCCTTCTTCATCCAGAGCATATTGAAGCTATGGAGGCAATGATGGCTCCCAACTTGGATGGCTTTAAAAGAGGATTGGACAAATTCATGGAGGGCAAGGCTATTAATGGCTACTAGACATGATGGTTAAGCTCTACCCCAGAGGCTTCATGCTTCTGAACATTAGCTCCTGGGAATCTCAGGTGAGCAGAGTGCTGTTGCGCTCATGTCCAGTTTGCAGGCTTCCAACAAGGATCTGATTAGTCACTGTGCGGAGAGGTGGGTCATTGGCCTGATCCAGCAAACTTGTCTGATGCTCTTATGTTCTTATGTCAAGGTGATGGGTGGGATGCTGGATTTTGTAAATTAATAAAGCGGGGGAGGGGGGGAGAGACATTGTTAGCTCACATTAAAAATAAGAAAAATCCATTAATCCCAATGATACCCAAATGAGACTAATGATTATAAAGATATATGCTCAGATGTAGAAAGGGCAATTCGATTTCCAAACCGTTGAGTAATGGATGGTGGGTGTTTTTCCTTTCAGTCTCTTTGGGACTTGCCAGATCCGCTTTCGTTGCTCATCCATTAGCCCCCATCTCAGAGGGACATACTGTATTTTTTGCTCTATAAGACTCACTTTTCCGCTCCTAAAAAGTAAGGGGAAATGTGTGTGCGTCTTATGGAGGCTGCACAGCTATCCCAGAAGCCAGAACAGCAAGAGGGATTGCTGCTTTCACTGCGCAGCGATCCCTCTTGCTGTCCTGGCTTCTGAGATTCAGAATATTTTTTTCTTGTTTTCCTCCTCCAAAAACTAGGTGTGTCTTGTGGTCTGGTCCGTCTTATAGAGCGAAAAATACGGTAATTTAAAAGTGTGTGAACGTCTGCAAACACCAAGCATTTTGCTTTTAGCATAGGAAGAGGTGCTTGGGTGAGGGGCGCTGAACTCTCTCTCACACCTTTGCACCCTTTGTTCCATCGCCTCAGGTGCTTTTCTCACAGCCACGTCTGATTCTGGAAATGGCTGGACTGAGGAGAAAAGTGCCTGAGCTGATGTAGCAAGAGGAGCCCTGGTGGGGGAAGGGGAGAGGGCTCAGCTTCCCTTACCCTGTAATGTAGGGGTAAGAGCAGCTTTTGCCAGCCTGTTGCCTTACAGGTGTTTTGTATTACACTTTCCAGGAGCTGCAGCCAGCGCAGCCATGGTACTGTTAACTCCAGCATCTGAGAGCCCAGCTGACTGAGGCTGATGGGAATTGTAGTTAGGAATGGGAGAGGATTTTGGTTTGCTCCAGAACTGGAAGCAAACCTCTCTGGTCTTCATCCGATGGCTCACATTGGACCACATGTCTAGATTGGATTGCATGTATGTGAACTTCTCAGGTTGTGGTTCGTTTGTACTAACATCCTGGTTTTAGTTTCATTTCTTTACAAGGTGGTTCGGGGGCTTTCTAGCTCTTTTTGCCTTTCTGTTCAAAAATCATTTCTAGCTGCTTGAAAGATACAGTATCTGTATTGGAGTTTTAAAAAAGATGCTATTAAGGTGTTTTTATTGCTTTATTGTTTGTCACTCTGGGCTCCTTTGGGAGGAAGGGCAGTATAGAAATTGAATAAATAAAAAACAAATTAAAATTAAGTGTGTATGTGAAAATTGCTTAAAATATCCACATGGTTATAAGATGGAACAGACTTGCTGGTCCACTTGTGTTCAAGGGACACAAACCAGATGAAGGCTGCATTCACAACATACATTTCAACTGCAATGATACCACTTTAACAAGGCATGGCTTCTGCCAAAGAATTATGGGAGCTGTAGTTTGTTAAGGATGCTGAAAGTTTTTAGGAGACCACTATTCCCTTCACAGAGCTACCATTCCCAGAGTTTCCTGTGAAGAGGGATTGATTATTAAACCACTCTGATGAAATTATAACAGGGCAGATAATCTATCAGAGACCCTGATTCCCCGGACCATTTGGTAGGATGGGTCCTTTTTGAAGTGGGGTTGGGCTAGAAGACCCTTGGGGATCCCTTCCAGATCTATGACTCTAAGTGTAGCCACATGGTGAGGCTTCCCCCTGAGGGCAGCTGTTCACATCTAGCACCCTTGAGACTTGATTGAATGGCTTTTAACATTGATTGAATGGCTTTTAACCTACTGTGCTTTGTGGTAGGCTAGCCGAAACCACAGGATGAAGAATGGTGCCTCCAGAATGTCACTATTTTGTACAACAAACCCACTTTCTTAAAATGAAATAAAAAGCCCCCCCCCCCGACTTTTAGTGGTTAGGAAAGTGACAGGAGAGTAACAGGGAACCGTACTGAAAAGTGTGGGGTGAACTAATGATAAATGGGAAGACATGTCAGCACCCCCCCCACACCAATTGGAATGAATGCTCATTGTCTTGTAACTGCCCCATAATAATATTTGTTAACAAATGCTCAATACATAGCCTAGCCTCTGTGTAAGCTTTGTGCAAGCAGATCAGGATGCTGAATAGCAAAGAGTCCTCAGTGTGATTTGATTTAAAGTGTCTGCTGTGCTATCATTTGTCTGCATGAGCTGGGATGAAGGAGCCTCACGCTTTCTAGTGCATATCTTAAAAGTATTTGTGTGCATGTTTGACCGTATGTGTGTTTGCAGAAACATGGATTGTTCAGGGACATTGTGAGTTGGGATTGGACCTCGGACTGGTTATTCAGCCTATTTGTTTGCTGCTGTGTGTGACTGTGTGAAGCAGACGCAAATGAGTGAAAGATGCTTTCATCAAAAACACTTGAGTTCGCCAGCAAACGACGCCAGCTGTCAGGTCTTGGTCACTCTGTGCATATTGAGCTAGGCATCTCTTGCAAAAAAAAACCCACAAAAAAAACCTTAGCAAAATTAAAATTTTTGAAATATGGGTTTGGTCTCTGTTCCCCACCCTGCATCAAAATATAACTTTTAGTAGTGAGAAACAATTGGCAGCCTTTATTGATGAGTTCTTCCTGCCATCGGGGCCACTGCAGGATGCTACTTCTCACAGAGAACAGCAGGGATTTGTCTTGGGCTGGGAAGGATTAAGAACAGGCAATTAATCTGAACCAGCATTGCTCAACCATCCACATTCCTGCCTGTCATGCCTCATCTGGAGGAGTCCACAATCAGAGGCCAATGTGGAGCTCCCACTACTTAGTGAAGCCCAGGACCCAACGAGATCTGTGGACAAGGACAAGTTAGGATTCCAGGACAAGGGTGCTAGGTGGGCATCCCGTGGAGACCTCTCCTTTGACAACAACTCATGGGATTCGGCTGGGTGTGGTTCCAGCAAGCTCTAGCTGAAAAGCCCCAGTATCAGGTGGGAAGAGCTGCCTTTTGCCTTGTACCTGGCCCTCTACTTGCGTGGAATGAGACCTTGGACTGCCCCTTGATTTGCATCTTTCTGAGCCCTTGCTTGAACCACTGTTTA